AAAATGTTGATGACTTCTCTGAAAAAAATACATCAATCACACCAGTCCAGCTATCTCAATTAACCCTTAGTTAAGCAGGGACCTTGTAGAGAAACCGAAAAGAGTTTGAGGGAATAAGAGATGCTATCTGCCACAAGGATTACCACTCTACATGCGGATCAAAGACAATTCCACATTTTACCCTAGCGATTAGCTGTAATTAAATAAAGTAAGTCTGTTTAAACTTCATTAGCAGCAAGACGTTTGCTACAGCAGAGTGGGCACAAATCATCCATTCTTAATTAAAAGATAATCCGCAGGATGACCATAATCTTCCTCTAAAAATACACCATTTTCCCCTGAAAGATTTCTTCATCAAATAAGGATAAATAACGGTTTCTATGTGTTTAAGATATGAAGGAATGGATGCTCCTTCCTGTTTGCTTGAATGAGTGCTGAATGTGCCTGATAACATCACTTTGGCATGCTATTATCTAAAATGGTAGAATACCTCACTTTAGCAAAGTCTCACATAAATCTTTGAAAACAAAGACATTGCATATGTATGAACTGAAATAGATATGACAGTCTTGGTGCATTAATATTCCTGACACTGGGGGGGGGGGACAAACTTTTAAGAAGTTACCAATGAATCCAGGCTATCGCTGGTGAAAGCAGGCAACTACTAATCAGGCATAAACACACTGAAATTACATAGCAAAGGAAAAAGGTATTGGGTCAAACACATATTACAGGATATAGTCCCTTAAGAACAACCAATTTGGGATAGAAATCAAGGTTGCACTCAGTCTCATATAAATAGTATTCTGGGAGGATCAGTCTTAATCAAAGGAAAAAGAACACTACTTCTCTAGACACTTTGAGGGTGTATGGGAAACATATGTTTCCAATTATTCCATAACAGCACTCATTAAAAGTAACTACAGAGCCTAATTGAACAGTTCTTTGCATAGTTGCTTTTGCATTGAAAATGGTCCTAGTGTAGCATGTTGTCTGGCTATTTAGTTATCTATTTTTAGTGCTTAATGTGAAAAACACCAGGGTATCTACTTCACTCTGCTGCACTGAAGTAAGCAGCTGTACAGAATGTAAATCATGCAATAGAACTGACACTGTAGTTCCAGTTATCTGATTCTTTGGGGCTGATCATGATCCCACAGGGAAAGGACCACTATGTAACCAATAGTAAGAAAATATCAGTCCCTTTTACACGTTAACAAATCTTAGTGAATTATAATTCACTCTGAGAAAAAAAAAGATGCTGTCTTTTGATTTATGCTTTATTTGATGATGTATGCCCTGTTATATTCAAACACTGCATTTGGGCCCTGATCCAGCAACAGGCCTCTACATGAATATAAGGGCCCACCATAGAGAGCTGAATATAGGGTGAAGGCTTTAGATTGTGCATAGGACCTGGAGCTTTTTACCTCTTTATAGGGTATCTAGTATGCATTTTACACCGTATATCTAGATTAAGTAAACAAAGGCCATTTAATCATTAGCAGAGGATGCTTGTGTTAGAATGAGTATAATTCTTCAAACTCCTCTCTGAAAATTTACCTTAATATTGAAGTGTTTGCTGGTAGTGACCATTTCCCATAAGAGTACAGTAGATTTATATACATGCTGACCTTGAGATTGAGGACAGATGAGCTGTTTAAAAGATTGTCCTTTACTGAAAATCTGTTTTTTGCTTTTTGGCATTCATTTATTGTTTTTGCCACATGTTTGTAACTCAGGCTTGTTCTGAGCCTTCACCCCATAATCTCTCATTTCACATGATGAGGACCTACAAATTTCCTCTTTCACCAACATGCATGAAGCTAGGTCTTGATAAAGGCATTTCAAACCTATCTGATGGCATGTCAGCTTTTTTATATAAGGGAGCACCTCAGAATATTTTTAAACTTTCATAAAATCCTAAGGAGGTGCTGAGATCAGTGCTTTCAAAACAACTAGAAATACATCTGTGCTTTGGTCTTGATTTAACTCTTTTATTACACTAATGCTAGCTGTCATTTCCTGTGTGTGTCAGCATTACTACTGAGTAGCAAAACATCATGGATAGACCACTCAAAAAAGAAAGAATCTTGTACTGTACTATGATAAGCAACACTGCTTTAAAATGAAAAAAAAAATATTCCAAGTTGATAGATTATCTGGCAACAGCAAGATATTACATTTGCCATGGTCTTGAACTACAATATACAGTGGCAGACAACTGCATAAATGGTATTGCTTCCAGTCTATTATATTAGTTTCTAATTCTTTTATAGCTCCACTATTTTGGATAGATCTCACTTTAAATGAAGTTCGCACTGGTCTTGGAAATGGTATAATTCATTCTCAGTGATTATAGGCCTGTTTGTACTTCTGTCTTATAAATGGCATTCAGACCCCAAATCATCAAGGTACTTAAACATAATTTTGAACACCCGTATAATCCCACTGAAGTCAATGGGAATACTCATGTTCTTTCTGCACTGAGCCTCAATCTTACTCCATCTGAATAAGGGTAACATAATCCCATAGTAAAACAATATTTTTTCCTGACCAATGACTTTAACTGTTCTTTTATCAGGAATTATAATAACAATTCTAATTTCCAATGGGAGTTGAGCTATTCAGATTAAAAAACCCACCAAAAATGCTAGTAAACCACTACAGTTTATTATCTGAAAAGGCAGCCCAAAGACAGATTCCCATAAAACTGTTTGCCTTTTGATTGAAACAGAATTCATTGTTTACCAAAGGATTCATTATACATTAAATGGACAAAACATTCATGGTATGGAACTACTGATATTCAATGCACAATGAAAATGAAGTCACTGGATTCTTTAAAATATTCTCTTGCATACCATTTCATTGCAGAAAATAATGAATGACAGTCTCTTCTTCTTCTTCCCAGTGCATATTTGGAATAGTTTTCATGACTTTGAAATGGATTAAATACTTCATCGCCTACTGTTGTATCCCCTCATAAAGAGAAGAAAAAGTCATTTACTTTCACTCTTTGACTATATGGACCATATAGGACTTAGAAAAATATAAGTACTTGTTTTTAAAGAAAAATAAACCAGTCATATACAACATTTATACAAGAGTTATATGAAAAATATCTAATCAGATATAAGGCGAATCCCAATGTGTATACAAATCTTTTAGGGAAGCAGAAAGATTTTGTAAAACCTCTGATAAAAAAATTAATAACATTGCTTTTGAAAGTTATCTGTAGATAAGGATATAATTATGTTCTTCATAACTGCTAATTGTGAAGGTATGTACTTATATAAATCATGTCCACTTGTATCATATTCCATTAGAAAAACCAAATATAAACACAAAATCTATCCACCCAGTTTTCCCTTCTACTTAAATAATCTGGGATGTCTTCCGTGTTTCAGATTTCAGTCTGACAAGTAAATCACATCTTTTTTTCCCCCATCTGATTTATGAGATTGGATTTAGTATCTTTTTTTCTGAGAGTGAGACATTACGTATGAGAGATCAATATTTACAGAATCTACAGTATTTAGACCAACTCACCTGTTTGTATTTATAATATAGTCCTCTGCCTACATAATATTCTATTTTTTCAAAGAAGCTACTTCAAAACACCCACTAACTATTCTTTTGCTGTAGATATTCATGTCGGCCAAAGTTTATGTATGTATAAAAACAAAGACATATTGTAGCTTATTTGTAATTTAGACCCCGATCTTCAATTGGCCTGTGTGAATGGGCTTGCCTCTATGCCTCTGCAGCGTTTCAGTGAAACAAGGGGGGTTTCATGCAGGTGAAGTCCCGTGCCTGTGCAAATCACAGCTTAAAATTATACCATATATTGGAACCATTCTGTATAAAATAGTAAGATAAACATTTATACTACTAATATTTTATGTATGTATTAAGAATTTGTATGTATTTTAAATCCATATCTACAAAATTCTGTACAAAGACACAGAAATAGATGTATACATGGTAATCCATAGATCAAAAAATCAAACATATCAAAAACAATTTTAATCACAAAAAGTTATTATATAAAAGGGAAAAATTTCAAAGTTTCTAGATGAATAAGCTTTTATGTTACAAGTAGGAAGGGAAAAATTTCAAAGTTTCTAGATGAATAAGCTTTTATGTTTTAATTTTGAAGTTTTTTAAAAGAGGTATTCTCTGCCTGAAAATTGTCACGAAAGATGGCTTCTCAGATCAACCAATCTGACAATCTGAAATTCTGATGTTCAATTTAAAAAAAGAAGAAAAAAAGTTATACTACACTGTTTGCTTCCTCCTAAGAGACAGTTCAGTG